CCCGGGGGGGCAGCACTGCTTGGGGTCCCCATGTTGGGGTCGCCACGTTGGGGTCCCCATGGTGATGTCTCCATGTTGGGGTCCCCATGTTGAGGTTCCCACGTTGAGGTTCCCATATTGAGGTCTCCATGTTGGGGTCCCCATGTTGGGGTCCCCATATTGAGGTCCTCACGTTGAGGTCCCCACGTTGTGGTCCCCATATTGGGGTCCCCACGTTGGAGTCCTCATGTTGAGGTCCCTACATTGGGGTCCCCACATTGAGGTTTCCATGTTGGGGTCCATATATTGAGGTCCCCATGTTGGGGTCCCCACGTTGGGTTTGCTATGTTGGGGTCTCCATGTTCGGGTTGCCACGTTAGAGTCCCCATGTTGAGGTCTCCATGTTGGGGTCCCCACGCTGGGGTTCCCATGTTAGGGTTTCCATGTTGGGGTCCATATATTGAGGTCCCCATATTGAGGTCCCATGTTGGGGTCCCCATATTGGGGTCCCCATATTGAGGTCCCCGTGTTGGGGTCCCCACGTTGGGGTTGCCATGCCATATTGGGGTTATTGAGGTCTCCATGTTGAGGTCTCCATGTTGGGGTCCCCTTGTTGGGGTCCATATATTGAGGTCCCCATATTGAGGTCCCATGTTGGGGTCCCCATACTGAGGTCCCATGTTGGGGTCCCCATATTGAGGTCCCATGTTGAGATCCCCATGTTGGGGTCCCCATGTTTGGGTCCATATATTGGGGTCCCCATATTGAGGTCCCATGTTGAGATCCCCATGTTGGGGTCCCCATGTTTGGGTCCATATATTGGGGTCCCCATATTGAGGTCCCATGTTGAGATCCCCATGTTGAGGTCTCCATGTTTGGGTCCATATATTGGGGTCCCCATATTGAGGTCCCCATGTTGAGATCCCCATGTTGGGGTCCCCATGTTTGGGTCCATATATTGAGGTCCCATATTGAGGTCCCCATGTTGAGATCCCCATGTTGGGGTCCCCATGTTTGGGTCCATATATTGGGGTCCCCATATTGAGGTCCCATGTTGAGATCCCCATGTTGGGGTCCCCATGTTTGGGTCCATATATTGAGGTCCCATATTGAGGTCCCCATGTTGAGATCCCCATGTTGGGGTCCCCATGTTTGGGTCCATATATTGGGGTCCCCATATTGAGGTCCCATGTTGAGATCCCCATGTTGGGGTCCCCATGTTTGGGTCCATATATTGAGGTCCCATATTGAGGTCCCCATGTTGAGATCCCCATGTTGGGGTCCCCATGTTTGGGTCCATATATTGGGGTCCCCATATTGAGGTCCCATGTTGAGATCCCCATGTTGGGGTCCCCATGTTTGGGTCCATATATTGAGGTCCCATATTGAGGTCCCCATGTTGAGATCCCCATGTTGGGGTCCCCATGTTTGGGTCCATATATTGGGGTCCCCATATTGAGGTCCCATGTTGAGATCCCCATGTTGGGGTCCCCATGTTTGGGTCCATATATTGAGGTCCCATATTGAGGTCCC